ATGTGATTCCTTCCCATGATCTAAGGCACTCCTGGCATGGGTGCAATCTGCGAAGCGGGAATCCCCAACACATTGCAATCAAGGATATATACTATTTTCATGAAATATTAACTATAATATGATTTCTTCACATAACACATGATAAATAATTAATATAAGTATCTTGAGTATCCCAAATTAAAAATTCCATCCATCTTTTGGTCTGGCAGAATTATGCTTTGAGCTCTCCAGCACAAATTTCATTTTCAGCAATTTATTACAGCGTTAAAAAGAGGAAATTAAGATAATAATCTTTGTCTGGTTTGGGGATTTAAGACCCATGTCAGAAACCCCCCTACACACACAAATATTGTTTTATGATAGTCATGGATCAATTTTTTATTGTATTTTTTTTTAGTTCTTTTTTTTCTATTTTTTTTCTTTTTTTATACATCAGAGTATGGTATTTGTTGTTTCATTTCTTGTGTAATCATAAGTGAAATGATCAAATACCAAATCATCATATGTATTGTTAAATTTATATTTCTCTCTCTATCAGTTATCTACATACTCTGTTTCCATTTTTTTATTTTATTTTTTAAACTTAACAATGTTACAATTTTATTGAACAATCAAATACATAACAAACTGACAAACAGACAACAGACAGACATTTGCTCGGTTCGCGGTGCAACAGAAAAAAAAAAAACAGATAAATTCGCATATCAGGCTCGAAGGATGGGGTTGGCATTTTTCCTAAGCGGAGGGAAACCCTACGGATAGAGAAAAAAAGAAAAAAAAACAGAAAAAAAAATTCACTAGGAAAGGACAAAGAAGAAAACCTCACTATCCGGGGTCTCATTTTTTTTATCCATTTATCCCAGTAGGTATAATGATGTCCCTTTTTTGGTGCAAAATTAGCGATGGTCCTAACCATTTAACATTAAATAATGCTTTGAGTATGGATCTTAGACAAGTTGTCTACCTTAGGAGATTTCCAATCCTGGCTATTAATGTTTTCACAGCCATTAAGATGTGAAAAATAATAGGTCTGAATTCTTTATTAATCCCCGTCATATCCATATGTAATAGAGCCATACTTTGGGTTAGATTAACCCCTTAAGGACTGAGCCAAATGTACACGTTGTGAACGAAACAAAATGTAAACAAAACCTGGCATTTGCGCTACATGTCTGTCCAACCGTAATTCACCTCTTTCATATTAAATGCACCCACCCTTATTATATATCATTTTATTCAGAGGAAACAGGGCTTTCATTTAATATCAAATATTTAGCTATGAAACATAATTTAATATGAAAAAAATAGGAGAAAATAAGAATTTGTAAAAAATTTTTAGTTCTACATGACATTTTAACTGTCAATGTCATAATACTGTTTGCTTTTACTGCAATAAAATACGCATATTTGTATTCAGCAAAGTCTCACGTATAAAACAGTACCCCCTATGTACAGGTTTTATGGCATTTTGGGAAGTTACAGGGTCAAATATAGCACGTTACATTTGAAATAGAAATTCGCCAGATTGGTTACGTTGCCTTTGGGACTTTATA